AACAGACATGGTCTGTGGGGTTGGTGTGCCTAGCGTGGGAGTACTTGGTCTGCTAGTAACTGAACCAACACTTAACCGCGGGACTGTTATTCTTCCCGCAGAAGTTGATGCCTTTTTCTGTAGAGATTTCAGCCTATAGTTTGGAGCTGTTAAGCAATATCTATCAGGCGGCAACCTAGGACCTGAATATGGCTTGATCAGTGGCAAAGGGGTTTGATTTCTTTGCCTTGCGATATCTAATAAAAAATCTCTTGGGGGAGGAGAGGTAAAAGACTGGTCAGCGCGGCACTGGATTGCCAATCGCACATCATCTGCATCAACGGTAGCTTTCTTAGCATGGCTTGAATAAATTTTTGCATCATCTAGAATTGTGGTCACATATCGGAAGGCAAACTCCAACATCTGATTTATAACTCTTGGCTCATATTCTGTAATCCCCATATCCTTCAGGATTTGTGCCATCATCTGTGCATCTTTCGGCATGCTCTTGGGAGACGCCATCTTGCCAGACTCCATGATATCCGATGATCAGACTTTAGATCATTTGAAAAAAATATGTACATTAGATCAATCTGAAATAGTTACTTTAGTAGCAACTGTCAGGAACTTAAAAAAATTTTTAATCTATGTTAAACTATAAAAAAATTTTTTAAATTTAAACCATATGTTTTCTTAATTTTAATGAGGCATACTTAAAGTCCCTTTAATTTATTGAGTTCCTACCATGTACAAATCATTGTCAACTATAAAAAGATGAAGACACAAATAAGGGAGTGATAAAAGATTAGGGGAAAACAGGGTAAAATAAATAAAAACATCTATCATCTTAGAATATATGCAGTTGCATGCAAACCTCACACTAAGATACCATAGCATAGTCATGTCCCACACCTGAGCTCAAAACAATCTCTTTCCAGTGAGACCTATACACTCACTGTGCTCATATATATGTTCAGCAGTAGCAAACCTTTGTTTGCTCAACTTGAAAACATTCTCCTTATTCACATTCTACCTCTCCGAAATCCAGTCTCTTCATAGGAGCCTTCCCAACTATTCACAAGAATTGCTAGCCATTTTCAAGGCGGAAGGGAAAATGCTCAAAATAACCAGGACATAGCATTAGACACTTAATATTTCTGTGGATTCCCTAAAAGAGTATATGTTCTTTAATGGCAATCTCTGTTTTTTGTACCTTCTGACAATACCCAGCACTAACACTCCACTATCAGACTTAAAACAAAACAAAACAAATCTAACACCAAAGTGTCCCTTACCTTCTCGAGCTAAATCACCAACATTAATGTATTTCAGTCCCGATTTTGACGCAAGTTCTTTGCCTAATGTAGTTTTTCCAACCCCTGGTGTACCTGTAAGACAAGCCACAGAAAAATACTGTTTGTGAAATACTACTTATCACACTGCAGCCCACCTTGTGCCCTTCCTTTTTTTATTTTTGGGGCAGAGTCTCACCTGGCCTCTGCCCTTAAAGATCTTGACGACTGAAATGAAAAATTTCCTAATTAGCAATAACACGTAAAAAAAATTTTTTTTTTGAGACGGAATTTCGCTCTTGTCACCCAGGCTGGAGTGCAGTGGTGCGATCTTGGCTCACTGCAATCTCCACCTCCCAGGATCAAGCGAGTCTCCTGCCTCAGTCTCCTGAGTAGCTGGAATTACAGGTGCCCGCCACCATGCCCAGCTAATTTTTGTATTTTTAGTAGAGACGGGGTTTCACCATATTGGCCAGGCTGGTCTCAAACTCCTAACCTCACGTCATCTGCCCGCCTAGGCCTCCTAAAGTGCTGGGATTACAGGCGTGAGCCACCATGCCTGGCCATACGTAAATCAGCACGTACTACGATCTAATAAAAATTTTCCAAAGCTAATTGAATGTCAGAATATTACCCGGTGTATTGATTCTCCAGGGGTGGGGCTCAGCAAATTCTGACGCCAATTCAAACTGCCTGCTGCTACCATGGAACTACTCAGAATAAAATTAGCCACCTCGTGCTGGGCGCAGTGGCTCATGCCTGTAATCACTGCACTTTGGGAGGCCGAGACGGGAATATCATGAGGTCGGGAAATCGAGACCATCCTGGCCGACATAGTGAAACTCCATCTCTACGAAAATACAAAAATTAGGAGAAAGGCCCACCTGTGTCCTGTTTGAAGGTCTTCAGGGTTCTTTGGGGCCCGAGGTGCCAATGGGTCATGTTTGGTTAGAAGGTGATAATCTACAGAATTCTACAGATTCCAGATACTATGGACCTATTCCATATGGACTAATAAGAGGACGAATCTTCTTTAAGATTTGGCCTCTGAGTGATTTTGGATTTTTATGTGCCAGCCCTAATGGCCACAGATTTTCTGATGATTAGTAATCATTTATTCTTTTGACTTGATTATTGTCTCCTTTTCATGTGAATTTATTACTCCCGTTGAAACCATGTACTAATAAACTATTTGCTATTCAAAAAAAAAAAAAAGAAAATACAAAAATTAGCCAGGCGTGGTGGCGCATGCCAGTAATCCCAGCTACTCAGGAGGCTGAGGCAGGAGAATCCCTTGAACCAGGTGGTTGGAGGATGCAGTGAGCCGAGGACGCGCCACAGCACTGCAGCATGGCGACAGAGACTCCGTCTCCAAAAAAAAAAAAAAAAAAAAAAAATTAGCCACCTCGAATCAATTACAATAATTTATTTACCTTTTTCTTCTTTTAAAGTCAAGATATCTCTTCGTTACCCAGGCTGGAGTGCTGTGGAACTTGGCTCACTGGAGTCTCCACCTCCTGGGCTCAAGAAATCCTATCTCAGCCTGTCCAGTAGCTAGGACCACAAGTATGCACCAACATGCCCTGGTTAATTTTTGTAGAGACGGGATTTGGCTATATTGCCTAAGCTAAGCTCTAACTCCTGAGCTCAAGCCATCCCCCCACCTCCACTTCCCAAAGTGCTGGGATTTACGGGCATGAGCCTGTAAATGCTTTAATTTACAGGCTCGTTTGCTTGGCCTATTTGCTTTAATTTAAAAAGATTTAAAAACTGTTCATGGCCAGGGGTGGTGGCTCACGCGTGTAATCCCAACAATTTGGGAGGACAAGGCGGGAGGATCACTTAAGCTCAGGAGTTTGACACCAGCCTCGCCAACATAATGAGACTGTCTCAAACAAAAACAAAAACAAAAACTGTTCATGTTAAAATTTAAGCAGTCTGAAAGACACCGTATTACCTCTACTGACCCCTTGCACCCTTCCCTAGAGATAACCACTGTAAACCAGTTTCCTATACAGGTATATATTCCCAAAAAAAACCCTATTTATGTTTGCATATAAATGTACATGTATGTATGTACATACTCTTTGTAATAAATACAATATATATTCCCTTGTACATAAATGACAATACTATATACATTGTTCTTTACCTTCCTCTTCTGATACCTATTATAATTACATTTCAAGATCATCAAATTCATAATTTTCAGCTATTCAGGTTTAACATCCCTGAAATTAAACTTGAGCATAAAGATAACAGGGATAATCCAGTTCCCATATCTAGGAGAATAACAGTCACCCCAAGTCCACTATAATACACCAAGTCTGAAGTCTGGACTCAACATGTTTTCAATAAAATGCTCACATTTTATTGTCAAAACATTTTCAATAAAATGTTTTGACAATGACTTAATAACCAGGGCACTATGTTTGATCCATACAAAAAGATGTAAAATCTTCCGCTTAAGGAATCTAAAATGCTAAACATTATTTGTGGGGTGGTTAATCTGCATCTCTCAGAAACAGACATGTCTTGTGCGCTGCCAACAATCTTACGTTTGGGTGAATGATGTAACTGTACTGTTTCCACAGAGTCTCAATTTTTCTGTATGCTGCAATAAAATCTACATGCATTAGATTTTTCCACGAATGGCCTACAATTTAATAAACACTTTCAGGACTGAACGGCTAGCAAAAATATTCGTTGAAGTCGTTATGCAGCATTTTAGTTCCCTTTACTGATAACACGCACCCTGAGTATGGCTTCAAAGACCCACTCCTACGCGAGAAACGACCCGAAATGCTCACTAGATGCCTTCCTTTTAAGGGGCGGGGGGAGCCTCTGATGTAACTCAACAAAAGCATACAGTAATTTCGTCACGCCACAAACATCTGAACTCATTTACCGAAATCTAATCTGAGGCGTTTATCAGAAGCAAAGGAAAAAATAAAATACGGCCCACGGAGGCCTAAGGAGTGAGGAATCCACCATTAATGGCACTACCGGGAAGCAGATATGGCCTTATTTCCCTGAAAATTTCAAAGCCTACCCTGCCAAAGAATTAACAATCCATTTTACAAACGAAATACCAGATTCCGAAAGACTAAACAGGTTGCTAAGCAGAAGAGCTGGATCTGCCGACCTCTCTTCACCTCCCCCGGGAGCCTCCGGCCAACGGAAATAACGTTCCGCGTCCCCTCCCCCACCTGCCGCAACGCCCGTGAGGGTCGGCTCCCGGGACGCTGACAACCGCCTCATGGCCCTCTGCCGGCCTCCGAAGACGGCACTGAGAAACTCCTACCTGGGCGCCCGATGCCCAGAACACTCCGCGCCCCTAACCTGCCCCCGCCCAGCCCCTCCCGGCCGCGCGCCCTGACCGGTGAGCAGGATGTTCGGAAGCAACATGGTCCCCGCGGCCAGGGCTCCGGGCGCCTAGCTCACGTGCCCTTTGCTCTACGGGGAGGAGCCGGAAGGGGCGGGCGGCAGCAAAAGCCCACGGCCCCAAGGGCCTCGAGGCCCACCGCGGCGCCCCTAGCCTGTCCCTGCGACCCAGCCGGGGCCCACTGGTTACCTGGCTTTCGATGACACATTTCCATCGCAAAGTTGGAGGGTGGGCGTAACTCGGGTCGGTACTTCGGGTCAGGCAGTGCGCTGGATGTCTAAGTAACACACTCCTTCGGAGGTCCCCGCCCTTCGCTTGCGTCGCTGATGCGCCGACCAGTCTGGAAGGTCCCCGGGAGGCCGTACCTCCGAGAGGCTCGGCGTTGAGCCCGGGTAGGGCCAGGTGGCTGCCCTTTCACGTAGGTTAGATCCTGGTCGCCTCAGCTCTTTGCCCAAAAGGGGATGCAACTCCGGGAAAGTAAGGCCGCCGCGGTTGCGGCTATATTATGTGTATGTCTTAGAGACGCGAGTCTATCTCTGCCTTCGAGCTTTCCTGGGCTCGCGTCGCTCCTCCTCCCGACCCGCCCATCCCATCTGGGGATGAGAAGATTGAGGGTGCAAAGCCCTGTCCTGCAGCGGGGATTTGCGAGCTCAACCCGGCACCCCACTGATTATAGGATTACGTTGAACGAATATTTGAGCTTGGTATACCCTGTTCACTGTGTGGGGTGGTGGTGGGTCGGCTAGGAATAGTCTTGAAGGTCTGCCTCTGACATCTCATTTCAGGAACCTGGCATCTTCAGGGACAGTTACTTGCTTTTTAAAGGAGGTAATTGTCAATCTTGTTTTCAAGGGTGAATAGAGCCCTGACCGTGACAGTAGTCTTCTTTTCTTTTGGGGGGGGGGTGCGGAGTCTCACTCTTGTCGCCCAGGCTGGAGTGCAACCTCCGCCTCCCAGGTTCAAGTGATTCTCCTGCCTTAGCCTCCGGCAGGGCTGGGATTACAGGCGCCCACCACCACGCCCGGCTAATTTTTGCATTTTTAGCAGAGATGGGGTTTCACCATGTTTTGGCCGGGCTGGTCTCGAACTCCTGACCTCAGGTGATCCTCCCGCCGTGGCCTCCCACAGTGTTGGGATTACAGGCGTGAGCCACCGCGCCCGGCCCCTGGTCTGCATCTTTTATTTTGAGCTGCAAACTATATTTACTCAAATAGGTGTTTTTTTTCCACTTGTGTACCTGTTGAAACGTCACAGTCTCTAATCGTGAACGATTTGGGGCGGAGGGCTGAACAATGTGTTTTCTAGTGTGTCGGGGTGCTTATAGACTATGTGTGCCTCCAAACTGTAAAATAGTCCGGCGTACTTTCCGGTGTATAAGTTTGTAGGCCTTAAAATTTTCTTCTGGCTAACTTAAAATTGTTGAATTCACTAGTTTTGCATAAACGTTTAAGCATTTGAAAACACGGTTGAAAACCACAGTGTTACCAAGAAATGTTCTAATAACGTGTTCAAATGAAAACAAAAATTTTACAGTAAGACTTAAATTCTTTGTCCACAGCAAGTGAATTCATGGTATTTTACTTTTTTGGGAAATATTGGAAATGAAGAACTGCAACTGTAATTTGAAATTAGGAAAACTTTAATTTTCAGTATAAAAATTGCTCAAATAAAATTGCCTAATTTTAATGACAAAAGGTAAGTACATAGTATGTGTGGTTTTTTTCTGTTTTTCCTCTGATACATCATTGAGTTCATGTGAAAAACTCCGATAGTAACACCACAAGTAGATTATTTGATACAGTTATAGTCATTAAAAGTAAAATTATTTTAGAATTTTGATTTCTTGTATCACTTAAATTTACTGTTCCTTTTCACTAGTTCTTGAGCCTTTATTGTGTTGTTGATTATATCAGTATACATTTATTACTATAATTCTGCAATTACAGTTTTTCTTCATTTGAGGGCTTCTTTTTTTCCCCCCCTAGGTGAATTATAGTTTAATGTACTACAGGTCCTGAACTACGGATGGGAACTATTACAGTTTATAATGTCAAAAACTTTTCTTAGACCAAAGGTATCTTCCACAAAGGTATGATACACTAGAATGGCCATGTAATAATTGCCTTAAAATAATTATAAATTTTTATACATATTCTTAATAACTTATTACTGCTATCAAAGTAATAGAGCCCAGTATCTATTGTAATTAATGATTTCAGCAAGTCTGGTAATAAGTTGTGAAACAAATGTTCTCTAAAAGTACAACCTTAATTTTGAAAAAGTGTTTTACAGTCCCAGTCACAAAGGCTGAAAACATTTGAATGGAAGAACATAGAAGAGAGAAACAAGAGTGGTAGTTGGTGTTATAGCTTAACCAAAAGCCCTACTTCTTAGAAGTAATGTGATTCAGTGTGTCAGTTCTCAGCAAGATAGGGGTTAAAGTGAGATGGGGGTCAGACAGTTTCGTGCATGCGGGGTAGCTATTTCCCTAAGTGGTGGCTCTAAATTTTCTTTGATGTTAAGTAAATTACTTAACTTTGCTGTTTATCTTTCTCTTTTTTCTAGTATATGGGAGTCCACATTTATGTAAGAAATGAAACTATAAAATGTATAAATAATTTGCAAATCAGAATTGCTGTCGAAAGGTTTATAATGAAAGATATTTTCATACACTCAAAAATATAGAGGAAAGGGGCCAAAATTATAGTACCAGTCACAATCTTTTGATGAGGACGAAATGAATCAGGTAGCTATGACTGAAATTTTTTCCAGTGGTCTTCCTTTTTTAATCCACTGCCAATAATATTCCTAACTCTCTGTCTTAAAAGAAGAGTGAAGTGTGACTTAGCATTTGTAAAGTATTTGTAAGCCCTAAATTACCTCCTCTAAGCCTACTTTCAGCTCCAACTTCTGGTTCGTTTTCTTCAAGAGAGGAACATTATCTAATTGGTAGCTCACAACTATGGCTGAGTATTCTTGAAGGAAAACATAACTTGGTTTCTTTTTGTTAGCCAGGCAGTAGATTCTACAACCAGATCTGAAGCTATGTTTTTCTAGATTAATGCTATTAGAGTGTTAAAAAATCTGGTAAAACTTTCTAATTTCTAATTATTTGTAATAATTAACTAATAATTTCTAAATTTTAGCAAGAAAAAAAAAAACAGAGTCTCACTCTGTTGCCCAGGCTGGAGTGCAGTGGGGTGACCATGGTTCACTGCAACCTTGACCTCCCAGGCTCAAGTGATTCTCCCACCTTAGCCCCCCAAGTAGCTGGGAATACAGGTGTGCGCCACCATGTCTGGCTAATTTTTTATTTTTTGTAGGGTTGGGGTCTCCCTGTGTTATGCTAGCTGTTCTCAAACTCCTGGGCTCAGCAATCCTACTGCTTCTATCTCTGAATATGCTGGAATTATAGGTGTGAGTCACTACACCCAACCATTACTAGGTGTTTCTGAGTGACAGTTCCCCCGTGAAAAGCCTGTCTCAATTATAAAAATGTTAGTTGCTTCTTGCACTGAAGAAAAATATAATCCAGTCATAATTACAGATTGCAACGTTATGATCCTTGGTCTATATCTTCACTGAGTCTTAAAGCTGATATAGATTATTTGGATATATGAAATGGTTCTTAGTTTGTGAATGTATTAACCTGGCCAAGGCAGATGTGTTACTCTTATTGCTATTTCTGTTAAAATATTATCATTTTTTTCTTTTGTTTTGCTTTTTTTAATAGGTAATTTTAATATTTATGTTTCAATCCTACAGAGAGTTAAAAAAAATCATTCTAATCTTTATGCTGGGAAGATTACAATTAATAAAAATAAGTTTGTGTTCTTTACTCCTTTAAGGTCAAGTAGACAAGTATGCACTTGCACTTACTGTAAAGTAGAAAAACAACTATTACAGAGAGAGTTTTATTTCAAAAGAGTTAATTTGTAAGATTTTTAGGCCGGGTGTCTTGGCTCATACCTGTAATCCCAGCTCTTTGGGAGGCTGAGGTGAGAGGATCGCTTGAGCCCAAGAATTGTTTGAGACCAGCCTGGGCAACATGGCAAAAACCCATCTCTACGAAAAGTACAAAAAAATAGTTGGGCATGGTGGTGCATGCCTATAGTCCCAGTTACTCAAGAGGCTGAGGCTGGAGGATTGCTTGAGCTGAGATTGTACCACTGCACTCCAGCCTGGGCGACAAAGCGAGACCCTGTCTCAAAAAAAAATTTTTTTTTTTTAGTTTTAAAGGTTATAAATTTATGAGTATGCTGTTTCCAGAGTAGTTCAGTTATTTGGGGGAATAGATGGGAGAAAATGTGATTATATTTACATGATTTCTTTTTTTTTTCAGGTAACAGACTGGGTCGACCCATCATTTGATGATTTTCTAGAGTGTAGAGACATCTCTACTATTACTGCCACGTCATTAGGTGTGAATAACTCAAGTCATAGAAGAAAAAATGGACCTTCTACATTAGAAAGTAGTAAATTTCCAGCGAGAAAAAGAGGAAATCTGTCTTCCTTAGAACAGATTTATGGTTTAGAAAATTCAGAAGAATCTCTGTCTGAAAATGAACCATGGGTGGATAAATATAAACCAGAAACTCAGGTACTGAAAAGCATGCAGACATGTCTACATAATTTAATTTCAGGGTGCATAAGGGTGGATGGGAAGCAGAGAGATGTACATTTTCAGATTTTTTACTCAAGAATCTTTCTAAGGGTTAGAAAAAATTCTGGATTTTTTTATTTTCCAAGGCTCAGATTTTTCTCAATAGTTACTCTAAAGTTGTATTATTAGTTATCTTAGATTTAATTTAATCCCAACATAGAATTGATCTTTTTAAAAGTTTTTGTACTAAATGTAATACTCCTTTCTACTGTCTTCTCAAAATGTATTTCTGAATTTTAAAAAATGTTATAACAACAAACTTGCCAAAATTATCATAGAGTTATCAACTTAAGAATATAATTTTTCCATAATAGTGTAAAAATTCAAGTATAATCAAAAGGACCATTTTATTATATAGATCGTTACTGATTTGCTACTTCTTTTCGTTAATAATGCTTAGGTTCATATGTGCTGATGTACCAAAAAAATCTTCAGTTAAGAAGTTTTGTTTTAAATTTGAAATTTTTGTTGTAGCATGAACTTGCTGTGCATAAAAAGAAAATTGAAGAAGTTGAAACCTGGTTAAAAGCTCAAGTCTTAGAAAGGCGACCAAAACAGGTAAGAAATGTGATTTTAAATATTTAACATCAAATATTTTTCTTACAGTGTGTTGTTAGAAGTTAAAGTTTTATGATGATTTTGCTCAAAACAAGTCTAGATCTCCTCCAGTGGAAAGCTCCCTATTGGGGTGTGGTGACTCATGCCTGTAATCCCGGCACTTTGGGAGGCCAAGGCGGGAGGATCACTTGAGCCCAGGAGTTCAAGAGCAGCCTGGGCAACATAGGGAGACTCTGTCTCTACAGCTAATTAGCTGGGCATTGTGCATGCCACTGGTCTCAGCTACCTGGGAGGCTGAGGTGGGAGGATCGCCTGAGCCCAGGAAGTGGAAGCTGCAGTGAGCTGTGATCACACTAGTACACTCTAGCCTGGGCAACAGAGCAATACCAAAAACCATAAAAAAACAAAACAAAACAAAAAACGAAAAAAAAAGCTTCCTGACTTTACTACTTCCAACTTGACTAAAAGACTCAGAGACTTTGAATTTTCCCCTTTATTTGTAACTCTTTTTCTTTATGTCTTATTGTTAGCATAAAGAATCAGTAAACCAATTAGGGTACTAGTGTATTTAGCACATCAGATTATCTCAGGCTGAGGAAAGCAGGCAAATTACATATTAGTTTCTCTACTAAATATAGCCCAAAACAGTCATTATTTATTTTAGACTGATATTTTTTGTTTCACTTCCTTACTGTACAATTACCCTGAACCTCCTAGGTAAAATATTCTCTCCTTCCATCAATCTCTCTCTTTTTTTTTTTTTTTTTTTCCATCAATCTCTCTCTTTTTTTTTTTTTTTTTTGAGACGGAGTCTCGCTCTGTCGCCCAGGCTGGACTGCAGTGGCCGGATCTCAGCTCACTGCAAGCTCCGCCTCCCGGGTTGATGCCATTCTCCTGCCTCAGCCTCCCGAGTAGCTGGGACTACAGGCGCCCTCCACCTCGCCCGGCTAGTTTTTTGTGTTTTTTAGTAGAGACGGGGTTTCACCATGTTAGCCAGGATGGTCTCGATCTGCTGACCTTGTGATCCGCCCGTCTCAGCCTCCCAAAGTGCTGGGATTACAGGCTTGAGCCACCGCGCCCGGCCCAATCTCTCTTTTTAAATGTTTTTATTTTGAGATTTTTCAAGCATAAAAGAAAATAGAATAATAAAAATATTCATATATACAGAATATACTCATTCTTTCCCACTTAAGTATTTTAAAGTAAATTATAAACATTGTGACATTTCAGTTAGACTTTTAGAGACTTCAGTATGTCTCTGTGTTTTAAAAAAAAAAATTATTTTCCTAATTAATTATGCATACCATTATTCTCTCTAACAAAATTAACCAGGATGCCCTAATGCTATCTAATGATCAATTCATATTCACGTTTCTGCATTTGTCCCCAAAATGTCTTGTAGCTGGTTTGTTTCAAACAGGTTGTAATCAAGGATCAAACCTTGCGTTTGGTTGTTATATCTCTTAGGCCTTTTTTTCCCCCCTGAATCTAGTAATAGTTTACTAACCCTTTCTTTTTCTCCAAGGCACTGACTTATGAAGGAGACCAGGCCGGTTGACTTGTGGAAGTCTCACGCTGCATTTGTTAGGTTGTTTCCTCCTAATGATGATTAACTTGTTCTTCTATCCTGCATGTCCTATAACCTGAAATTTTGAATCAAGGGCTTGATTAGACTCAAGTTGAACATTTTTGGAAGAATAAAGGTCATGGTGTATGTTGTATAGTGTGTCAAGTTGGAAAGTATTTGTGGTTCTCCTGCTGTCTTAAGTTTGGTCACTAGATTGAAGAGGTGACCATCAAAAATCTTCATTGTAGAGTAACTTTCCCTCACAACTGGCACATAATCCATGGGGAGATATTGTGGCAGCATGTGAATGCCCAGTTCTCCATCAGTCGTCTACCTAAGTGCTGTAGCTTCAATTTTCAACCCTTGCCTGAATCACTTATTTTATTAGAGTTGTAAAACAGTGACTTTCTTGTAGTTCTGTTATTTCTACAGTTATTATTGACATTTTTCTACAAAGAAAAGTTTGCCATCACTAGCTAGGGTCGTTTAGTTACCTTGAAATACATTTCCAACTAGAAAGGTAGGATGAGTTTTATATCTTTTTCTTTTTTAAAAAATAGGCTTTTATTTTTGGAGCAGTTTTAGGTTCACAACCAAATTGAGTAGAAGGTACAGAGATATCCCACATATGCCCTGCCCCGGCACATGCATAGCCTTCTCCCTTTACTAACCTTCCCCTACCAGAGTAGTACATTGGTTAATATTGATGAACCTACATTGACACATCACTAATACCTAGAGTCCGTTGTTTACGTTAGGTTTTTCCTTTAGTTTTCAACCTTGAGATGAAGGAGTTGGTGTTTTAGTTACTTTGATGGTAACAGATCCTTCTCTTTCTTTTTTTTTTTTTGAAACAGAGTCTCGCTTTGTCGCACAGGCTGGAGTGCAGTGGCGTGATCTTGACTCACTGCAGCCTGTGCCTCCTGGGTTCAAGCGTTTCTCCTACCTCAGCCTTCGGAGTAGCTGGAATTACAGGTGTGCACCACCACACCCAGCTAATTTTTGCATTTTTAATAGAGACAGGGTTTCACCATGTTGGCCAGGCTGGTCTCAAACTTCTGACCTCAGGTGATCTACCTACCTTGGCTTCCCTAAGTGTTGGGATTGCAGGCGTAAGTCATCACACCCAGCCGATCCTTCTCTCTTGAACCAAGCTCCTTTCTCTCTGGCCTGTGGATTAAACCTTTTGGTTTAGAGCTAAGATCATGAATTCAAGATGGATTTTAAGTGTCAGCATTGGTATTCCTCTGATTCATAGAAATCTCATCTCTCTTCTCCGAATACAGATTTTTGGGCAGTCTGTCTGACACACCTCTTACATCCAAGCTTTTCCTCATTGATTTGTTTTTGGTCAGCTCAGCTAATAGTTTTTATTTTTCAGTGTCCATTGTGTTTTCTCACTTAGCAATACTCTGTCAGTATAAACATTATCATGTCATAAACCTACGTTGGTGTTACTATTACTATTCTACCAGTTGGTGTTACTATTACTATTCTACCAGTTGGTGTTACTATTACTATTCTACTAGTTGGATAAACTTACGTACATATATATATGTGTGTGTGTGTATATATATATGTATTGGGAAAAGTATTTTATGGTTTCAAAAGTTTTCCCCCTAAGGAGTTGGAGTTTAATCATATACTCTATTTATTTGTTTATTTAACTTTTTAGACACAGGGTCTTGCTAAAGACAGTTGCCTACACTGGATTGCAGAGGTGCTGTCATAGCTCACTGCAGCCTTGAACTCCTGGGCTCAAGCAGTCCTCCCACCTCAGCTTCCCGAGTAGCTGGGGACTACAAGCGTGTGCCACCACATCTGGCTAATTTTTAAAAACAATTTTGTAGAGATGGGGTCTTACGGTGTTGCCCATGCTGGTCTTGAATTCCTGGCCTCCAGTAGACCTCCCACCTTGGCATCCCACAGTGCCAGAATTAATAGGCATGAGCCACACCATGCCTGGCCCAAATCACTTACCCTTTATTTTACAGAAGTTTCAGTGATGTCAGTAATTAGAAAACGGTTTTGTTCAAAAAAATTGGGAAGATCTAGATTTATCAATGGGCAAACTAAATTTACTTTTCAAAATTTATTTTAAGTACAATATACCAAATATTTGCAGCGTTTAATTTTTCAGGACAACTTCTTTCCTTCAGAATTCAGTAAAACTCTGTTACAGTGTAGACAAATGGGATTAACAAAAGACTTCACGTTATAATGTGCTGATAAGAAACTACCTACTAGTTCTCTTACTGAAAGGGAAACTTGCTATGTGCCTATACCCACTCTGTCAGAAAACAGACACGTAAGTATATTATTACATGAGAAAAATGTATAGTACTTGTGCATAGGCTTCTTTTTCTTTGTAAAGAAGTGATCTGTCTGGTATTATAGTTATCATTATTCAAGGTAGTTATGTTCTGTAAAGTTGCTGAATTAGCAAATACTGAACCATTATTTCTAAGAAAAACACTAAATTAGGTTTCTGCAAACCTCTGGTTACAACATTTTTGTCAACCCATCAATATATAGCCTTGTTGTATATGTGTTTTTGTTTAAAGTTATTTAATGTTCAGTCATGCTTCAGTTAATGATGGGGATACATTCTGGGAAATGCGTCACTAGGTGATTTCATTGTTGTGAGAATATCATAGAGTGTACTTACACAAACCTGTGGTATAGCCTATAGCCTGCTCTCCACCTAGGCTATATTTTGCTCCTGTGCTACAAACTCGTATAGCATGTTACTGTATTAAATACTGTAGGCAATTATAACACAGTGGGAACTATATGTGTAAATAAACATACCTAAACCATACCATTAAAAAGTACAGTAAAAAGGCCAGGCGCGGTGGCTCACGCCTATAATCCAGCACTTTGGGAGGTCAAGGCGGGTGGATTACCTGAGGTAAGGAATTCAAAACCAGCCTGACCAACATGGTGAAACCCCATCTCTACTAAAAATACAAAAATTAGCCAGGCATGGTGGTGTGTGCCTGTAATCCCAGCTACACGGGAGGCACAAGAATCACTTGAAACCGGGTGGCGGAAGTTGCAGTGAGCTGAAGATAGTGCCACTGCATCCCAGCCTGGGCAACAGAACGAGACTGTGTCTCAAAAAAATAAAAAAAAAAAAAATTTGGTAAAAACATGGTTATAAAAGATAAAAAATGCTATTATAGATTTATATAGGGAACTTACCATGAATGGAGCTTGGACTGGAAGATGGTTAAGTCAGTGAGTGTGAGTGGTTAGTGACAGTCTAAGGACATTACTGCACACTACTGTAGACTTTTATAAACATTGTACACTTAGGCTACACTAAACTTAAAAAATTTTTTATTTAATAAACCTTCACTTACTGGAACTTTTTGTAAATGCCATGTTAAGGACTTTATGTAACTTTTTTACTTAAACTTTTAGATTCCTTCATAATAACACTTAGCTTAAAACACAAATAAATGGTACGGCTGTACAAAAATATTTTCTGTCTTTATATCTTTATAAACTTTTTTGTATTAAAAAAAAATTTTAAGCTTCTTTTAAAATTAAAAGTGAAGACACAAGCATACATATTAGCCTAGGCCTACACAGGGTTGGGGTCATTAATAGCACTGTCTTCCACCTCTACATCTTGTCCACTGGAAGGTCTTCAGAGGCAGCAACATGTAAGGAGCTGTCGTCTCTTATGACAACAGTGCCTTCTTCTGCAGTACCTCCTGAAGGACTTGCCCGAGGCTGTTTTATAGTTAACTTTTTGTTTTGTTTTGTTTTGTTTGAGACAGAGTTTCACTCTTGTTGCCCAGGCTGGAGTGCAGTGGCGCGATTTTGGCTCACTGCAGCCTCCGCCTCCCTGGTTCAAGCGATTCTCTTGCCTCAGCCTCCTGAGTAGCTGGGATTACAGGAGTGCGCCACCACGCCCGAGTAGTTCCTGTATTTTTAGTAGAGACAGGGTTTCACCATATTGGCCACACTGGTCTTGAACTCCTGACCTCAGATGATCCACCTGCTTCGGCCTCCCAAAGTGCTGGGATTATAGGCGTGAGCCACCATGCCCGGCCAACTTTTTTTTTTTTTTAATAAGAACAAGTAGATTCTAATAATAAAGATATGGCACTGTAAATATATAAACCAGTAACATAGTTGTTTATTATAATTATCAAGCATTATATATTACACATAATGAGATATACGTGTTACACTTTTATACAGCACAGTAGGTGCACAAACGTGAGTGATGTTTTGCATTATTATTACTAGGAATTTTTCAACTCCACTATAATTTTATCGGACTACTGTTCATATGTGGTCCATCATTGACTGAAAGTTGATTATCTGGCACCTGACTGTATATTGTTGATCCATATAATTTGAACTCATAGTGAACAGCACTATAACTCACACACTGCCCTTTTCAAAAGTGGAACAGGCTCTCTTTGTCCAAGGTACATAGGTTCTTATTAAAGGAAAACAAATAAGCAAGAATTATAGCCTGCCATAGTATGTAGGAAATCTTTTGATATTTCTGTAGCTTTAACTTTTTTTTAAAAAATCAAATTTACAGTATCAGGGAATGTTACTGGGATTAACAATCTCTAGTCTCTCATTAGAGTCCTATCTCTAGTAAATACGTTTGTTTTCTTTTCTTTTCTCTTTACTTTACTTTTCTTTTTTTTTTTGAGACAGGATCTCACTTTAATGCCCAGGATGGAGTGCAGTGGCACAATCTTGGCTCATTGCAGCCTCCACCTCCCAGGCTGAAGCGATTCTTCCACCTCAGCCTCCTGACCAAGTGGGACTATAGGCGCACACCATGCCCGACTAATTTTTGTATGTTTTTTGTAGAGACAGGGTTTTGCCATGTTGAACAGACTGGTCTGAAATTCCTGGGCTCAAAAGAATCCACCTGCCTCAGCCTCCCAAAATGCTGGGATTACAGGTGTGATCCACCGTGCTCTTCCCGAATATGTATCTTAATATGCATTTCTTAAAGAATTTAGTAACCAAACTGAAGTCTTTCCATGAGAATATTGTATTTGTATAACAGTAAATTATATCATCCAATGAGATGTCTATATTAAGAATAAATTTTGCTGGGCACGGTGGCTCACTCCTGTAATCCCAGCACTTTGGGAGGCTGAGGTGGGCAAATAATGAGGTCAGGAGATTGAGACCATCCTGGCCAACACAGTGAAACCCTGTCTTTACTGAAAATACAAAAAAATTAGCCGGGCATGGTGGTGGGCGCCTGTAGTCCCAGCTACTCGGGTGGCTGAGGCAGGAGAATGGCGTGAACCGAGGAGGCGGAGCTTGCAGTGAGCCAAGATTGTGCCGCTGCACTGCAGCCTGGGTGACAGAGCAAGACTCCGTCTCAAAAAAAAAAAGAGTTCAGGTAACCTCTAAAAATCTTTGTTTTAGACATCACCTCCCTAATTTAGCCAAAGTGTGGTGGTTTTAATATGGCTACTAAGTAGTCCTTGGGAGGGACATAATGCAAAAATAGAGAAATTATCAGAAGCAGAATTTAGAGTTGAAGAATTACGATTCTCTTATTTTCATATTTGCAGATGTTTTTGTATGGAAAATGGGGGAAAAAACAATTAAAAAAAGAATTAAAAAAAGAAAAAATAAAGTTGGTTTATTCCAGCAAGCATTATTATGAAATTTTAATTGCTTATATGAGACATTCAGCAAATATTTATAGAAGTAAATGATATTTAGAATGAAAAGTCAGAAATAATATTCTAGCATTCCAGTGATTTTGATTTTTAATTAATAATTTGTATTTGATTTTAGGGTGGATCTATTTTATTAATAACAGGTCCTCCTGGATGTGGAAAGACAACGACCATAAAAGTACTATCAAAGGAGCATGGTATTCAAGTACAAGAGTGGATTAATCCAGTTTTACCAGATTTCCAAAAAGATGATTTCAGGGAGATATTTAATACTGGTAAGATTGGCTGTGAAGGTAGTGGAAGTAGTGGGAAAAACCCATGCTTAAGGGAGCTTTCAGATAAACTTCTATGAGTGCATTTTTTCCCGTACTTCCCACTTTCAGAGGGATGGAATTTCACAGACCAGGTGCGATGGCTTTCACATGGGAGGCTGAGGCAGGAGGATTGCTTCAGGCCAGGAGTTAAAGACCAGGCTGGGCCGGGCGCGGTGGCTCAAGCCTGTAATCCCAGCACTTTGGGAGGCCGAGACGGGCGGATCACGAGGTCAGGAGATCGAGACCATCC